CATGGAAGAGAAAACCCAAGTCCTGCTTCTCAGGGGCCCTCAGTCAAATGTTCGTACAGACCCGTGTGGTGTTCTACTTCTCCTATTCTGTTTACCTTCCCTACGCCTAGCCCACCCTAGCCCCAGACCCCACTTACTCCCCTTTCTCTGCCAATTTTTTAAAACTGCTTGTCATTTTCCTATGGGCTACCTTAGATTTATTTACACAAAATAATATTATTATAAATAATGCACATAAAACTGTTGATACTGGTTCAGTTAGGAGAAGTGGCTTTTTCTACCTTTAACTGTGAAGTTTTATATTTGTTTACATTTTCCAAATATGTGCATGAATTACTTTACATATTCATTTTTCTTTTTTTAAGTGTATTTATTTGAGAGAGAGAGAGCATGCATAGGAGGAACAGAGAGAGAAGGAGAGACAGAGAATCCCAAGAAGGCTCCACACCGTCAGTGCACAGCCTGATATTGGGGCTCGAAATCACGAACTGTGAGATCATGACCTGAGCCAAAATCAACAGTCACACACTTAACTGACTGAACCACTCAGGTGCCCCCTGCATGTATCAGTAAGAGTATACAGGCAGCACTATCATGGACTTCTATTCTTTCCTTCTTTATAAGTATCTATAATTTTGAAAACATAAATATATCTTAAAAATGAAGTAAGCACAAACTTTCACCTATGTATTCAGTTCAAACAGAGTAATCAGCATATAATGCTTAAAACTGAACAGGGTCATCAAGATAAAAAAGCTTCTGCACTGCAAAGGAAACAATCAACAAAACTAAAGGCAACTGATGGAATGGGAAAAGATGTTTGCAAATGACATATCGGACAAAGGGGTAGTATCCAAAATCTATAAAGAACTCACCAAACTGCACACCGGAAAAACAAATTATCCAGTGAAAAAATGGGCAGAAGACATGAATACACACTTCTCTAAAGAAGACATCCAGATGGCCAACAGGCACATGAAAAGATGCTCAGCATCACTCCTCATCAGGGAAATATGAATCAAAACCATACTCATATATCACCTCACGTCAGTCAGAGTGGCTAAAATGAACAAATCAGGAGACTACAGATGCTGGAGAGGATGTAGAGAAACGGGAACCCTCTTGCACTGTTGGTGGGAATGCAAACTGGTGCAGCCACTCTGCAAAATAGTGTGGAGGTTCCTCAAAAAATAAAAAATAGATCTACCCTATGACCCAGCAATAGCACTGCTAGGGATTTCCCCCAGGGATACAGGAGTGCTGATGCATAGGGGCACTTGTACTCCAATGTTTATAGCAGCACTTTCAACCATAGCCAAATTATGGAAAGAGCCTAAATGTCCATCAACTGATGATTGGATAAAGAAGTTGTAGTTTATATATACAATGGAATACTACTTGGCAATGAGAAAGAATGAAATATAGCCTTTTGTAGCAATGTGGATGGAACTGGAGAGTGTTATGCTAAGTGAAATAAGTCATACAGAGAAAGACAGATACCATATGTTTTCACTCTTATGTGGATCCTGAGAAACTTAACAGATGACCATGGGGGAGGGGAAGGAAAAAAAAAAAGTTACAGAGAGGGAAGGAGGCAAACTATAAGAGACTCTTAAAAACTGAAAATAAACTGAGGGTTGATGGGGGGTGGGGGGGAGGGGAAAGTAGGTAATGGGCATTGAGGAGGGCACCTGTTGGGATGAGCACTGGGTGTTGTATGGAAACCAAAGTGACAATAAATTTCATTTAAAAAATAAATAAATACAAAATAAATGCTAAAGAAGAATTTTAAAACATGACCTGGGCTAATAACCATTATCTGCTAATTAATAAACAATTATGTTAATGAACAACAAACAAAACTGAACAGGGTCAAAAACATTTATTGGCTAAAAATTATTAGGAACATCAAATCTTTTTTTTTTTTTAATTTTTTTTTTCAACGTTTATTTATTTATTTTTGGGACAGAGAGAGACAGAGCATGAACAGGGGAGGGGCAGAGAGAGAGGGAGACACAGAATCGGAAACAGGCTCCAGGCTCTGAGCCATCAGCCCAGAGCCTGACGCGGGGCTCGAACTCACGGACCGCGAGATCGTGACCTGGCTGAAGTCGGACGCTTAACCGACTGCGCCACCCAGGCGCCCCAGGAACATCAAATCTTTTTAACAAAATGGGACACTGAAGCATTTGGCCAGGAAAATGAGGGTTGGTAGAAATAATGGTCATAAAAGAAAACTACACTCGCAGAAATTAATATAAATAAATATTTGATTACTGAGTCACAAATCATGACTATAAAATTTAAAATGGGTAAGAACTGATGCCATTTAAAATATTTTCAGAGGAACACAACTAGAAATGTAAAATATTAGAATCAGTTTAACTGTGTTATACAGAGAATAGATCAAGGAATTAAATTTACTTAACAGCAGTTCAGAAAATAATTCCTCATGATAAACTTCAGCATTGGTAAATTTCTGCATTCAATGGAATTCCTTGCTGGGATCCAGATGTCTCAAACTATAACTCTTTTATTAGTTATAGTAATTACCTGATGTTTTAGACATGTATGCTCAATCAAGCGAATTAAAATTTACCCAGTGGTGGGAGAAAGGAGAGAATTTAGTTGTTATGACATTGATAGCTATCATATCTTTGCTTATATGTATATAATTTCTTCTCTCTGATCCATCATTGTACAAGTAATATGTTTTTATATTTGCCATAATTTTGCCACCATTTACCTGGCGTACCACTAGATACACTGACTTCTGGAGTCTGTATAAATTTATAGTGGTCTCTATTTCCTTTCTATTATCTTCTCATATTCTTTTCTCCCTAAATTTGCGTATTTAGAATCACATGTTTTGAAAATTGCTAAACGTATCCCAGTGCTAAATTTACCACTTAAGGCAGAAATTAGTAATTGTGGTACCAAAAGTACAATGAAGCTAAGTGGAACTTCTTCATCATGCCGTTATTGAGAATATATATTGTGACGTTATGATACAGTGTGATGTCTGCATTGTATGCAGTGGGGCATCCTGTGCTATATTGAAATCACTTTACTCTTTAGCTATGCTATTACCGCATATTACGTGTGTTAAAAGTTTAAGCATAATATAGTTTTTGTCTTTACTGATCTGGGGCTAAAATGCCCTTCCTTTCCCCCCCCCCGCCCCCTTTTACTCTAGTTTAACCAGAATAACCAGACATGATAATTATATAGGAACTTAGGAAATTCACTTGTATTTAATTAATTTGTATTATAGTTACCTATTGGTAATTGTTAAGATTTTAAAAAATAGAACATTTGGAGGACAGTTCTCTCATTCCACATACAATAAAACAGGTATAAAACATTAGGTAACTCATTGGCAATGGAATCTCAACATTTGAGATTTACCAAGAAAGCGAATGAAGAAGACAAGGCCAGACAGAAGCAGGAGAAATAATTTTGTAGTTTCTGTTTTTTCCCAGTAGCTGCTCATTATGATAGAAGAAATATCACTTGGAGTCTTGTTGAGGTTATTATATAAAAGAAGTAGAAAACATTGCACAAAGCTGTGTCAGGAAGTTCAATTATTTTGACCTCTTGAGTGTCATTTCTTTATTAATAGAATATTACCATTTTTACTGTTTAGTTCTTGTAAAAAAAAACTATTTTCTCCCAATTCCTGAGTCTTCCTTCAGTGAGAGACTCTCATGATTTTGGGGGCAACTGTTCATGTAGAACTTGGTCAAAGTTGACGAGTAGATTTCTTCTTTTAACCTTCAGCTTTTCTGTTAGGGTCGGTCAGTTGTTAGCTTGCAAAAGGGAAAACACCAGTATGTCAGTACCCTTCTGTATCCCCATGCCTCTTCCATTGCATATCCAACAACATGTTTACTTTTGAAAATAGTAGAGTGTCCTGATGTGTCTTCAGTTATGAACATGTTTCATATTTCTTGTATTTGTTGTCATCTTCAAATGTGTGAAAGAAATTGATTATAGAAAAATGATTTTTATTTACACTTTGCTTAAATATCAAGTTACAAATACTATGAATTTATAATAAGAAGCTATTCTAAGGGAAAATTTTGACCTTTAAAAAAATTTATGCTCACGTGCATGATAGCTGTACGTTAACCTGTTCGTCCGCCATTTTGTATTCTCCCATTCCCACGGATCTCACTGTGACCTGCAAGCCTAATCCCTTCAGAGGTTTTCAGTCTTTTATTTGTCTTCTGGCTATTTGCCTTCTGTTTGCCAAAGGCACAAGTTGAGTGTCTTAAATGCTAGAATTTTATTGTCTCATGGTTTTGTGGCTAGAAATCTCAGATCAAGGCATTGGCAGGGCCAGGAGGCCCCTCTGAAAGCACTAGGAAAGGGTCTGTCTGTAGTTCTTGATCTGGGGACAGCATAACTTCCAGTCTTCACATGGTGCTCTCCTTGCATGCATGTCTGTCTCTGTCCAGATTTCTCCTTTTTATAAGGGCATCAGTCTTACTGGATTAGAGGGCCCCACGCATACTCCCTTATGACCTCATCTTAACCAGTTCCATGTGCAATGATCCTATTTCCTGCATTATGTTACATTCTGAGGTACTGGAACTTAGAATTTCAACATATGAATTTGGAGCAACACAATCCAATTCACAACACTTTATCTAGCCTAGATCCCATTGTCTCATATCTGACTCAACACTGCTACTAACAGCCCTCTACTTTTACTCTTTTTTTATCTCCTGCCACACTGGACTACCTAAGTAGACCAGTCTGGGTCTGGAATTAATGAGCCTTATTGGAGAACATGATGTGATCATGATAATTAAATTATCTGTTACAAACGCATGCCTTTGAACGCAACTGGTCCCTAAATTCTCAGGGGTGTCATTTTACTATCCTCTGGCAGTGACTGTTGCTAATGTTTTTCACTCTTTAAAAGGGTTTATCTCCTACCCTTGCTACTTCTATTCTCAACAGACTCTTACTTGCCAAAGAAATAAAATGTTAGAAGGTATCAGTATGAATGACTTCACCTTTTCTTCCCCACCACTCTCCTACATAGTCCTTTTTCAAATGTTTTCTCCTGGGCCTCTTTTGTCTCTCCTACTCAGCTGGTCCCCATGTGTCAACAAAATTTCTTCCATTATTAATACGAAATTTTCATAGTCTTTGGAGGCTTTCCTCTCTAACTCATTTTCCTCTCATTTTCCTATTCTGTTCATCCTTCTTGGCCAAGTTTCACCGGTGTAAATTCATCACTGACAATCAGACTCTCTTTAGTGGCAATTAATTGCTTCCTCTTAAGGACATCCATAACTTTTGTACCATATAACTGTTGGTATTTAATATCTCCTATCTTGCAAATAAATCCTTTATGTATATTAGAGCCACCAATGATGGGCTCTGAAGTAAAATATCTTGTTACATAACAAGTTAAAGATAACAAAACTTGCGATTTGCCATTAAAAAGAGGTTATGTATACTTCTTTGTATTATGAATTATACTGGAAGAACTTTTGTATGTTGGATGGTGTCTTCATTTTGTACATTGTAGTGCAAGCAGCTTATGAATAATTTATTGAATTATATTAAAATTGATAAACTAATGCAGAATATTCATTGTGACAAACAGGAGAAAAATGATATCGTGGTATAGTTATTCATTCTTTATTCATTTTTTCATACATCACTTTTCCATCCAAAATATTTATCAAGATGGGACGCGTGGGTGGCTCAGTCGGTTGAGCGTCCAACTTCAGCTCAGGTCAGGATCTCGCAGTTTGTGAGTTTGAGCCCCACGTTGGGCTCTGTGCTGACAGCTCAGAGCCTGGAGCCTGCTTCCGATTCTGTGTCTCCCTCTCTCTCTGACCCTCCCCCGCTCATGCTGTCTCTCTCTGTCTCTCAAAAATGAATAAACGTTAAATATTAAATATTTAAATATTAAATATTTTTAAAAAATATTTATCAAGATACTACTGTGTGCTTGATACCAGATACTCAATAGGTATAGAAAACTGCAATTTAGGGGCGCCTGGGTGGCGCAGTCGGTTAAGCGTCCGACTTGAGCCAGGTCACGATCTCCCGGTCCGTGAGTTCGAGCCCCGCGTCGGGCTCTGGGCTGATGGCTCAGAGCCTGACACGGGGCTTGAACTCATGAACTGTGAGATCATGACTTGAGCCGAAGTCAGATGCTCAACCGACTGAGCCACCCAGGTGCCCCATGACTTTTTATCTTAAATTAAAACAAAGGTTTATTATTTCTTGTAGACTTGCATCAATTAAATATATTTGTGAACTTTTCTAATTTTATCTTGAATATTTTAATAATTCTTTTGCACACCTCTCTTCCTTCTCCCCCCATCTTTTTCCTCTTAATTTTTTATTCAAGTATAATTAACACACAGTGTTATATTAGTTTCAGGTATATGATACAATCAAAAATTCTGTACACTACTCAGTGCTCATCATGACAAGTGTATGCCTAACCCCCTTCATCTGTTTCACCTATCCCCCACTCACCCTTCCCTCTGGAAACCACCATTTCTCTATAGTTCAGAGTCTGTTTTGTTAATTTGGTTTTTTTTTTCCTTTGTTCATTTGTTTTGTTTTTATTTTTTAGTTTATTTATTTATTTTGAGAGAGACAGAGACAACACAAGTGATGGAAGGGCAGAGAGAGAAGGAGAGAGCAAATCCCAGGCAGGCTCCACACTGTCAGCACAGAGCCCAATGTGGGGCTTATACTCTTGAGCCACAAGATTAATCTGACCTGAGCCAAAATCAAGAGTCAGACGCTTAACCAACCGAGCCACCCAGGTGCCCCTGTTTTGTTTCTCAAGTTCTACATATGAGTGAAATCATATGGCATTTGTCTTTATTTTATTTCACTTAGCGTAATACCTTCCAGGTATATCCTTGCTGTTGTAAATGGCAAACATTCATTCTTTTTTCATGGCTAAGTAATATTCCATTGTGTATATATACCCCATCTTCCTTATCCATTCATCTATTCATGGACACTTGGGTTGCTTCCATACCTTGGCTACTGTAAATAATGCTGCAGTAAACATAGGGGTGCATATATCTTTTCAAAGTTTACTTTTTTTTTTTTTTCTAAAAATTTTTTTTTTCCACGTTTATTTATTTTTGGGACAGAGAGAGACAGAGCATGAACGGGGGAGGGGCAGAGAGAGAGGGAGACACAGAATCGGAAACAGGCTCCAGGCTCCGAGGCATCAGCCCAGAGCCTGAGGCGGGGCTCGAACTCACGGACCGCGAGATCGTGACCTGGCTGAAGTCGGACGCTTAACCGACTGCGCCACCCAGGCGCCCCGCAAAGTTTACTTTTTAAAATAAATCGGAAAATTTGTATAATGTCTGCAAATGGTCTATTAATAACCGTAGCTCAGGACCTTGGGTTGTAACATCATACTACTCTTATCAGTAGTCAGACACATTGGAAACCAGGTCCTTATGTCAAGTCTGAGGATGGGAATCCCTATGGGGCTAGGAAAGTGACATATGGAAGTATTGAATCACTGTATCAAACACCTAAAACTAATGTAATACTGTATGTTAACTAACTAGACTTAAATAAAAATTTTTTAAAAAGAAAAGTGAGGAGCACCTGGATGGCTCAGTCAGTTAAGCATCCAGCTGTTGATTGGGGCTCTAGTCATTATCTAATGTTTCATGAGTTTGAGCCCCACACCTGACTTTGTGCTGACAACACAGAGCCTACTTAGGATTCTCTCTCTCCCTTTCTCTCTGCCTCTCCCCAGCTTGTGCTCTCTCTGTTTCACGCACACACACACACACACACACACACACACACACTTGCACACACACGCACAGAATAGATAAACTTAATAAAAGAAAAATTTTAAATTTTTTGAAAAAGAAAAGTGATATAATCTAATGACCTGATGAGTGTCACTGACCAAAGGAGAATAAAACCTCATAGAAGAGTTTCATAAACTGGGCTTAATTAAACTGGTCATGTCCAATCCTACTGCACATTCTTTTCTGCCCAAGCTGTCGAGACTCTAGAAATAGAGCAGATTCTTCCTTTTGATTTGTGTACATTTTAGTGTCTTGAATCTAGAGGCTACTTCTGAAATTCACTGTAGTTACCAAAGATTGAATAATTAGCCCTTTCTCTCATTAACTGTTATTAGAGTCATTATCAACCCTTTGCAGTGAAAAGTACAAAATGTACCAACGGTTGGGCTATTCAAACATTTTCCGGGGCAACATTATCCTATCAGGACAGTATCCTTAAAGAGGAGATGTGTGAATTAATATGCAGTGGCACATAGAGCGAATTACCCAGGCATCATCTTTTCATTTAAGGAGCATGCACATGATTAAATTTCACAGTTAAAAATTCATCCTTAAAAGTTAAACTGTAGCAGAATAAC